CGCTGGTGCCACAGTTTAGACCACGTCGTTTCCCACTTAAACTTCCTTTGATGAGTACTTGAAAAAAAAAAAGTAATTACCCAGCCATTATCACACCTGGAACATCTAAGGTAATTCCTTAATATCACCTAATAGTCATTTACTTTCCGTTTAAATTTCCTTGGTTGTTTCAGAGACGCCTTTTATTGTTGGTTTGTCATAAGCTTCCAAACAAGGTTCTGCCCCACATTGTACTTGGTTGCTAAGTCTCTTTAGGTCTCTATTCTCCTCACGCCCCGTCTCCACTCTTCCCCTCCCCCACGCCGGTCACCCGCCCAGAGCCCCCACCCCGGCATTTCTCTTCATGCTTTCGATTTATTGGGGAAACTGGATATTTGCAGTGTGGAACGTCACAGTTCTTGCATTTGGCTTATTTATTTCTGATGATATCATTTAACCTGTTTCTCTGTCCTTCGTGCTTCTTGAAAATTTATAGATAGCTCTAATGTGCCATAATTAGATCCTGGTTCAGTTTGTTTAGAGGCGCACTGGTAGGGCGTGTACTTCCTATTGCGTCTCAGTTAGAGGCATGTAATGTAGGCTGAAATAGTGGGTTCAGGTGAAATCAGCAGCCTGACCCCCTCCCCCTCCCCCTCCCCCAATACATCTTTAGCTTAATAATTTTTAGAATACACTGATGAACGTTGCCCAGGTAGAGGGTCTGGCGGCTGGTTTGTTGGTTTGTTTTTAACCCTTGACTCATGAGCTATAAGGATGTAAATTCAAGACCCTTGGTGTCCAAGTTCTATTCCCCAAGGAAGCAAATTGAGAGAACAAGACCAGGAAAAGAAATGAAGGAAGAGTGTCAGTGTCCTCTCAGTCTCTGGATCATTCAGTCCTTTCCATAGTTTGATTACACGCGCTAACAAATTACCTTTCTTACTTAGGCTGAATTGAAGTCCTGTTTCTGCCTCCCCACGGCTAAGAGGCTATTCTGGAGCCGCGCTGAGTTCTCCCTCACACAGTCTGCTGTGCTTTACCTATACTTTTCTTGTGTTGAATCGATTGCGTAACAAAAATAGCTCTCCCCACTCACTTCTGTTTGAATGAAGACTGCTTGCTTTCTGGATATATTCTGAATATTGTTTTCTGTCAGGCTATACATTTATTGAAAGCCTCATCCAGGAGGACAATTGCCAGAGGCGTTGAAATTTAACGTCTTGTATTTCCTTACTCTGTTCTTTCCTTTCTGTTACACAGTTGTCTATGTTTAATTTTCAAATTCTTGTGTTCTGCTAGCCTTTTCCTCCTGTTTCTTTTTTCCCATCCCGCCCCTCCTCCCATCTACCGCGCATACCTCACCAACTGAACACATTTACCCTGTTCACCTTATGCTTTTGTAATCACGCTCATGTTTTCACGCCACACGTTTGCAACATTGAAACACCATTGGCTTCTGCCAAACTGAAAAATATTTACGATCCCATATTTAGATTTTGACGAAAACAATTCTTGCTCGTATTACCAGTTAAGTAAATGTAAATCTCTAATCACTTTCTCAGAGGGAGTGTTCTTTAACACATCTTTTGGAAGTCATATGGGAAAATTTTGAGGTAGGTGGCTCTTTAGTTAAATGGTCTTTTGTATCTTGAGTTAAGATTTCATATGAGAAGGAATCTCAACAGTCTCATTTTTAATAAATTGATTTTAGGAGAGATTGATTTAAATGATTTTTCTCAGCTTATCCCATTTTTTAACAAGAAAAAAATGAGTTTTATTTTTATGTTCTGGAACATCTGGACTCCATTAACAATAAATGCTGCCACAGTAATTCTAACCATTTATATTACCAGTGGAATAAAACAATCTGTGTTTTCTTAGTGGTGTATAAATCTA